TTCTGGCATATGCCAAGTAAATTCTTGAAAATATTAATAAATGAAAGAAAAAAAAAATGAAGTGGAATCCATAATCAACATATAATAACAACATTCTGCTAAGGTTAAACATACACTCTATCTCCTGGAAAACGGCTTGTCTATTGTCTCACCCTATCACTAGGGAAAAAGCCCCATTTTTAAAAGCTTTCTGGAAAACTAGCAGAGCCATTTTGGGAGGGGTAAGATTGTTCTAAAGAGTAGATGCTTATACAGTCTGAGATAGATAACAGGTTTAAAATTTGTACTATAACATTCTCTTATATATTGTATTAAGCTACTATTTTAATATGATTCCCAATGCAAGATAATTTCCATAACACAAAATATAAACCTTATAAATTCTAACGGAGAATTGTCTCCAGCATTTACCCACCTTCCTTAGTGGGTAAATAGTGACGATCTGCAGGCTGTTTTAATTTTGATAAATTAATTTATATGTACTAAAAACAATATCTAAAATTCTGAAAATTGACTGTTCTACAATGAGTAAGTTGTGAGAATAGGTTAGTTTTTACTAATTGGATAGTTTCTTTTTCAATTGTTCAGATGGATAGAAGTATCTTATCCAACAACTGTGTTGCAAATACAGTGTCATTCAATGTGCTATATAATTTACACACAGCACATATTCCTAAAATATTATTCAATTAAACTAACATCATTCTTTCGAAACATTAGATTTTTAGTATAGGTACATAAGTGTCATCCAGAAATTATTATTTAGGTAAGTATCAGGAATCTAACATAAGATGTAATATTATTTATACCATTCTTTGATTTGTTTGCGAACATTTAATTCACTGCACAATTAATATCTCTCCTTTAGTTTCAAAGTCCCACATTAACCACTTACCCCTTCAATTTGGAAACCCTAAGTTATTCCATTCTGCTCTGGTAATTGCAATATATATATTTATTATTATCTGTTTTCTATACAGGATGGTAAAAGGTCAATAAAAAAACACATATCCAGATAAATATTAAAAAGAGACTGACGTAGCAAAGGGCAGAATATAAATATACATTTTAAAACAATGATAAATTAAGAAATGCTTGTACTACATTCTAAGATGAAATGGCTATTTTTACATTTCCAAATTGAAAGCAAAACATCCCATGTTCTCCAAATTCAGGACAAGACATGATGTTATTCGTCATGTTCTGATGTTTTCTGTCCCACAATTGGCTTTTCTCCTCTTCAAGTGATAGATGTTTGTGAGGCACTAGCTACTAATGGAAACCCAGGTCCCATTCTTGCAGAACTGGCTGGAACAGATCAAAAAGAAACACAAATATGTAATAGTAGCTAACTTTTACTATTTCCTTGGAGAAACTAAACAAAGATGATCCTGCAAGACTAGGGCAAAAGAGACTAGCTACAGATGAATACCAATTGATTGATTATATCAAGTATATTTATAACTTTTTTCAATAATTCCAAAGCACAGCTCTTTCATGAAAAGATATGCAAATTAATTTTTGTTCATCCTATATAGATGGTCACCTGGTTTTTACAATGATACACTCCAGTAGGAAATTTAGTCTTCATGGATTATAATGTAATCTTTCCTGTTGTCTGTATTTTGTGTTCATGTATGCTGCCAAATGCAAAATTGTGCTATGGCAATTGGTTGAGGGCTGCTTTTTTGTAAGCAAGTTGACAACAGTGTAATGAATATAGGCACAAGTCAATCCTCAAGTCAATAGCTAAAAAAATATATTATTCCTATTAAATCATTTGTGGACTGTTTGCAAAATTTAATCCACTGTTGGCATCAGTTTTATGCCTGTTTGTGTTTCTATATAAAAGCATTCCTATTTTTTGCTTTCATTGTATGTTATGGGATTTAAAAAAAAGTCTTGGCTGACTTTGCTGGCTTTTGTATAAATTGATCAGTAAATAAAACTCTAAATGGGATACCACCCAATAAATAAAGATGCGAACTAAAACAGGAGAACCCTTGTTTTGAGTTCCCATTGCCTTTGTCTCTTTGGCAAAACACTCCAAATATTTCAAGTCTTGTACCAGTGGCAAATGGAGCATCCAAAATATTTCAAAGTCCATTATTTTAAACATTAAAAGCATGATAATAAAACTTTCAGAATGGAATTCAGAAACAAAAGTATGTTGCTGCTCCCATTTTTAGCTTTTAATGTTGCTTCATGATAGAAAGATAATTAGTGTAGGTACAAATCAAAGTAATCTTCCTATGGGAAGTTCCGAACTATAGCCACAAAAATACCCTTCTCTCAAAACTCAATCAATATATTTCAAATAATAACAGTGTTGCAAGAAATACTCTTTTTTATAAAATCAATTAAATGAATCGGTAGAAAAATAGAATAGCATTCAGCCTATTAATGGCTCTGAGTAACATGGCTTTTGATTCAACAATGTCTGAAAGATAGTCCAGTACAAAACATACTGAACTAGGTTAGCCAAGCTAGTCTAGCTTTATGTTTTACAGCAGCCATACCAGGCAATTCTAGAGGCTTGATAGACTTAATTTACTAGGGTAAAATTCCAAGGCAGTGTTTTATTTTATAACTTATATGGATTCAGTTTATAGCATTTCACCACAGTTATTCCTTTCTTATTTCAATCATCACTTTAAAAGAACTTGGAATCTTTTTTCCCAAACAGCTGCCCCATAAAGCTTTATCGCTATAGCAACTAACCTAATTGGTTTCCTACAGGTATTTTCTTCAACCATTGGGTGGAGCTACTATCCCTAAGTATAAACCAAAGAGTTAAGGAAAGAAAATAATTCTTTCCTCATCCTTCATGTTACAAGAAACAAAGAAAATAAACAATTTATTTTCTGATAATTAAAAAGCAAAAGCACCCTGGAGTCAGACTATATGTTAATAGAGAGCTTTTTTTTGCATGCTAAATATGTTTATCGTCTCATAAAAACAAAACATTTCCCTCTATAAGAACATATTTTAATAGGGAAAGAAGGGCAAGGAAGAGAAACATCATGTCAAGTCATTCTGAAATTTACTTCAAACTTTAAAATATTCACTGATCCATTATATTCAGTTATATTTTAAACCTGTCTTTGCTGTCAGTTTAGCTGAGTGTTTGGATTAAAGGTGTTATATCCATAGCACATAACTGTATTTTAAAAAATGAACACAGGTATATATGTACAGGCATGGAAATGTTTGTTATCTTTCCATTTCAATTATAAAAAACAGTGTTGTTAACAAATGACTCATTTTCATTTTGTAATCAAAATGTTTAAAGTTTCCTGTTAAAGATAATAGGATTCTATAGAAACTACATTAACATAAATTTTGACCATATTTCATTCCTAGTATTCTTCTGAATTTAAAAGTCATTTACTACAAAGGTCTTTAAGCAGTGTGGCAGTTAAATTACATGTGAATTATGTCATCATAGTCAAAGTTGCACATTCAGTTATTAAGATACTGAAATAATTAAAAGTAGTGAAGTGTCTTGACATTGCATATTTTAAGCTAGGGAATGCTCTGCTCAGAGTTGTGCAGAATATATATTCATCATGCTTAGCAAAGATTAACCTGGGATCTGCAAAAAAGAATTTAGTTATAATTTAAAAATTCATTATTTAGAAATCATGAGATTGCATTTTGGGCTAACAGAGAGATAGGCAAGTAGACAAAAATCTATGAAAACAAGAATTATAATACAGAAGTTTTTTTAAAAAAACAGTGCTGTCCTTCCTAAATACAAATGTTAAAAGTATCAATGCCATAATATATTTTAAAGTTATTGAAAAGTATTGTCAGTTGACAAGAAATATTGTATCATTATGTTACACATATGGTGCGCTCACATGTGAGATTTATATAAGACACAATTTAACAGTATTTGAACATATATTTTATTAAATACAAAAACTTGAAGACTAAAATGTTATCTAACCCAGAGTAGTGCATGAGATCTTCCATGCAGAATTTGATAATTAGAAGATTCTATATTATAGAAATATACACTAAACTTTAAACACAAACTCAGTATTAAGAATCCTGTCCTTACCTTAAAAAGAAAATTGCATTGATGTAGCAATGTTCAGAAAGTTTTGTAATAATCACAAATAGAGAACGCTTAATAAACTGCTATTAGTTTTAAAAAGATTTAAAATTCACTAACTATCAAACTTCAGTTATGATAAAGAAACTGCATTTCAAATCTATTGTGTTTCAATAAAAGTCAACATGAGATCCTTTTCCTCCATTGAGGAATGTGTATTATGGCTATCAATGATAAATTCTGTCAAATTCATGTTTGCTAAGAAGTATATTTCATTTTATTAAATCACATTTGGATTATATTTTAAAATACATGTTTTCCATACTCTGACAATGGTCAAAAGCTTCTAAACCAAATTTATTTATTAATAATAATAAATAAATAAGTAATTTCTACAGTCTTGTAAACTCCATCTTCTGGTACTTAATACTTCTGAATCTCAGAAATTACTGATTATAAGCTACAACAAAACAGATGATAAATTTAACTAAGGATGCTTTGTGATACTGCAACATTTGCAATATAGGGTCAAGTTCTATCACTAAGGAATATCACCATAAGCATTAATGTATGAGAAGAGGAGACTGGGACATAGAGAATAATAAAGACAGAAATATGCACCAATAATAGAACAATAGAAAATATAAGTAGTAATAAATAAATATATAACATCTGGAGTGCACTGCTATTCACATATGTTGTTAGGCTTCTGAAAAGTGGTAGGAATTACAAATTATTTCCAAAACATTTGGAAGCAAGCATTGCTTTTAACTAAGTTTAATACAAAATGCTGCTTTTAACCTAGTTTAATACGAATATGTAGTGGCTCTTTGGAAACAGCCTGGCCTATTACATTAATGTGGTCCATTTAAGTCAAGAAAGAAAGAAAGTCAAATACAAAGAAATAAGCGGATTTGTCATCTGCTGAATCTATACTTACTGCAGTAGGCAATTAAAAGCCCAACTAAGATCATGATTGCCCAGAAAGTTGAGGATGCACTCGGCAGGACGTTGGCATCTTTCCTACTGCTTCGCTTAAGAGATGGAGCCATTGAAGCCATAAGTCCCCCAAAGCCAAAAAAAGAGGGGGGGGAGCAGATAAGTTTCACAAGCCAGGTCTCCCTCGCCTTTCGACACACCTAATCCCAAATAGAAACATCTTAGAGAAGGACCACAGAATTTGGCTGTCAGCAATCATCCTGGGGTGTCCAGAGGGGTATCTTCAACCCAGGCAAGCCAGAAGACATTTTGTTTCAGCCTCTAGAGCAGAGTTTTTCCTCCTCCCCTTCGAAGGTAGAGATTCATTGGCAACGACCTCGAACTTTCCTTTCTAAGAGCGGCGGAAAGGAGGCAGGCAAGCAGGCTGCCCTCAATGAACCCTTCCAGCAGCCCGTCGTGCCCAAGAGGCGTTTTGTTTTTCGCTCCTTGGGAAGATCCCAGACGGGGCGCGGCAGCAGAAGCCCAGGCGAGGAGCGGCTGGTGCCTGGTGGCGAACCCTCCCGCAAAGTCCCGAGCGAGGGGGCGCCCCCCCCGCGCGCGCATCCACGCGCGCCCCAGCAAGCGGGCTGCCCGCCCGGCCACCCACCCGGGCGAGGGAGGGAAGGAAAGGTCGCTACCCGAAGGCGCAGAAGGAGGGAGGACTCCAGGAGGGTACGGCAGGCAGGGGCATCCCACGGAGCGCGCGAGGGGACGGTGAGGGAGAGCCGGAGCCGCGGACCAGCTGCCGAGGGTCCCGGGAAAGGTTGGCCGCTTTCTCCTCCACGGACGACAAACTTCTCACGCCCGTCCCTCAGCACTCGTAGCTTCGTCCGGAGGGAGCCTGGCCGGCGCGGCAGAGGTCGCCCCCTTTTGAGGGCAGAGGTTAGCCAAGCCCGCCCACTGGTGCCGCCTCGCTCTCCGCAGCCCCCGACGACGCCTTCGTTTCCCCTCGGGTCGGACAGGGCAGCGTCACCCAGCTTGACCACCTTGGCCGGACGGGCTGGCCGCCGCTGCTGCTGCTAGTCCTCAGCCGCTCGTTGTCTTGGGCTCCGTAGCGATCCGCAGTAGAAACCCCGCGCTTTCCCCGTCTGCAGAGCGGCGGCTCCTTTTTTCTTTCTGGTCGCCAGTCCCGTCGGCGGAACGCACTCAGCTCCCACCCCTTTGCCGAGGGTGCGTTGGGGATTCCGGCCGACGCCCCCCCCCTTAACGCCGCCCCCGGCCCGCCTCGCGCGCGCTCCTCACCCAAGCTGACGCGCGGAGGGCGGGCGCGCGCGCGCTTTCCAGCCCGCAAGCGGCTTCGGAGCTTGGCACGTGGCTGTTGCCCGGTTCGTCGTCCCGCGCCTCCCTCCTCTGCTGCGGTCTTTCGTGGCTGGAGTGCGGTGGAGTGAGGAGTCCGCCCCCCCCATCCCGCAAAAGTGAGGGAGAAAGAGGCGCTCCTTCAGAAGAGCCTGCTGCCCCTGCCTCCTCCCTCGAAGGCAAAACTCCAGGTGTGACATAAATCCAGCGATGGTAAATGAAAAAAAAAAAAAAAAAGGCATTACCAAAAAGCTTATGCTAAAGAGCTGCCCCTTTCCCCCAGAGGACTGAAGAGCGCCCTGTTTTTAACCAGCTTGTTTGCCGCTTTGCTTTTTTCGGGAGAAATCGCGCCCAGCAACGGTCGGCATCCTGAGGAGGCGATTACGAGTCAGAGTTGGGTTGCTAATTCTCTTCCCTTCTCCTACCTTGGACTTTTTTTCCGTCCCATTTGCAGTGGAGGAACGTTGCGGCCGTCTTATCTGCTTCCTGGGCAAAGCCACTTCCAGACTGCGGAGCTAGGGGGCAGCAGACTGGAGGCAGCCGCCGTTACTTTGTCCATTTCCTGGGCATCGTAAAAGGAAAGAAGAACTGTCCCAGGATCGTTCATTTACATCTGCCCTCCATGGTTAAAAAGGGAGATTTGATTCTAGAAGGAGCTTCTACTTTACCTCATCTCTTGTCACCTACCTTCCTCCTGGGAAGTTTCCTTTGCAGTCCTGAGGGCTCCATTCAGCCCATTTCCAAACAAACCAACAAAATTGACTATGCCCTGACATTTCAGAAGAACCCCCAAGTGTTGCAGTCATCAGCAAACCTCAATTGCTACTGACAGAAAAAAGGGGCAGTCATTGCTTCCTTCTGCTTGGATGCTTTGAGGTGAAGAAGTTTGCTGCACTGTGTTTATAGTCCATTACTCCAAATCCCATAAGCAGTTAAAAGAATAACAGGATATCTCACCTTCCACAGTCAATTCAATATACTGCAGGGTGTGTATAAGGGCAGAAGCAAATACTCATAATTTTTTGGTAGTACCATTTATTTGGTCTTCTCTGCTATGGTGTCCATAAGAATTAAAGGTATTAAACAATATAGTACTTTCTTTTGTAGCTCGCATACCCGTATACACAATTTAAGGAGCAGATAAGATGTTATCTAAAAAAAAAAAAAAGATTGCTAACCTAAATCATCATTAGGGAACAGCTAAGATTAAGAATACAGTTCTTTGCAAATTTGCTGGGTTCAAGCCCATCTCAGCGAACTTAGTGAAACTTCTAACACACATGCACAGGGCTGTGTTCTGCGTCATCTGTAGAGGAAATATTAATCTAAGGAATTAAGGGTTCATATCTGTATTTCAGTCATAATCCATTGTGTTCAGTGATAGGCACTTCATGACCTTAATGTGCCTGCCTTTTATTAAGGACATTAGCTGTTCCGCATTTTCTAACTCTGAAGAGTCGCTCTAGGTCTGCACTATTGATTTAATAAGATTACTTCTAGCCATGGTCTAATAAATGTGCAAAAGGGCAATGGATTTTGTTCCAAGTTTGACTTTCCATTCTTGTTGATAGACTTTTTTTGTGTATTTTATAGGCCAGATGAAATAATCTAACAGAAAAGGGAAACGAAGCAACAGTTCCATGTTCTGTTACTTGGGAAAGAAAATCTGCAACAAAAAAGTATTAACATAATATCATGGCAGTTCTAATCCAGTCAAATGTATCTCTCAACCTATATGCTTAGAAGTAAGTTCTACAAAGTTCATAAATCTTATTTTAACTCATATATGTACCCTAGTGCTAGGGTCAGTTTGGCCATTTAGAATTGTCCCTCTTTTGTTCCTATGCTTTGATGCCATGCTCATTAGAATGAATAGTTTGTATATAGTATTGTGCAAAATATTTGAAGTTAAAAAGACTTTCATTTGGGCATAAAAACCTGTCAGTCATATCAGCAGTATACTACTACTGTTGCAATCATTCTAAACATATTCTGAAATATCTCTTCTTACTGTGGCCACACTCCATAAATGAATATTAGTTTTATATTTTTCATCATAGATGTGCAGATTAGGTAAATAATCCAAGATTTGGGTAACAAAGCACTTGAATTGCTTATATATTTGTTTTCACTAATATTCACAGAAGTAACCTCCATGAACTTTGACTAATTAGAAGCTTGGCATAATCAATGTTTGCTTATTATATTTTAACAGTTTAAAAAAAACTTCCTTTCACAAAAGACACAGAAAGAATTTGCCAAACAAAAATAGGTTTAAAACATTAAAAATGCAATTCCACTGAGCTAAAATAAAACAAAATTCAGCAGCATTGGTGAAAAAATAATAATTACAGTAAACCACAAAGCTTGGTATACTCAGAAGTATTTAAGCACATACAATTAATGTTAAGCTCCATTCAGTTCTATTGGTTAGATATGAAAATTGACTTTTAACCTTACTGGTCATGATTTAATCCTATAGTACAGGAAATAGAACTATCTGAAAAAAATCAGCCTAATTTATTTTTACTGGAGCAAATCAAGAACTCTTTATAGGTTTGTGATAATAAACAATAGATTATTATAAGTAGTTTATTCTTTTGACAAGGTTGAAAATTAAATGGCTGCCTTACAGAAGGAAAAAGGAGGGTATTTGCATGGGACATTGTTGGGCCAAAAATCATAGGGATTTGGGTCTGGGTGCCGACTATTCTATGCTGTAAGTGCATCTAGTAAATATTTGTTTGTGCTTTGATTTAAGCTTACCATAAAAAGCAAGTTAGTTCTGGATAAATGGAGACTGTCTTCATAGGAAAAAAAAATGATAAAACCAAAGGCATGAAAGCTGGCAGGAAAATTGTATTCAAGAAATTTCGATTTTCTATATTTTACTCAACCAGAGAAAATTATGGAAATAGAGCTCCATTAATACAACAGTAGGTGTTCAGATGCATTACTGAATATTAAGGATTCCTCTTCCCAGGCAATCTGTGCATGTTTTTGGAACAGTCTGTTGGATATTTGCTTAATGGATTGAAATCATCTTCATCTTAACGAAATAAGGGTCCAACAAGTATGGAATGAAATCTCATTTTAAAATAATAAATGCATAAATGCATTGTCTGAAACAGATATTTACAAATCTCTTTAGAGAATGAAACTACACTGCATATATATATATATATATATATATATATGTCTTTGGTTGTTCGGGTTTTCTCCCGCGTAAAATTGGAAGTGTCTTGGCGATGTTTCAATCTCTCTCTCCTTCTTTCCTTCCTTCCTTTCCCCTTCAATCTCCTTCCTTCCCTCCCTCCCAACATTTTTGAGCAAGGAAGATTAAGCTTCTCCAGTGAGCATTGCTACCGTATTTTCTGGCATATAAGATGTCTTTCTAAACCATGAAAATCTTCTCAAAAGTTGGAGGTCGTCTTATACGCCCAGCCGGAAATATTTTGTGTGTGTGTGTGTGTGTGTGTGTGTGTGTGTATGTTTTCTGAGGTTTTCACGGGTGTTTGTATGTAGGTCTTTGGTTGTTCGGGTTTTCTCCCGCATAAAATTGGAAGTGTCTTGGCGACGTTTCGACGAAGTCCCATTCGTCATCTTCAGGCTGGTGTTTTCAGCTTCGTGCTTCGAGCAGCAATGTGTGGTCTTAGCTGTTTCTTCCTTTTAACTGCCAGTGGGGGTATGAACTGATTGGGTGGGAGCTTGCTGTGTTCTGATTGGGTGGAGGTGTGTTCTGATTGGTTAGGGGCGTGGCTGTGCTCTGATTGGCTGGGGGGTTGGCTGTGCTCTGATTGGCTGGGGGGTTGGCTGTGCTCTGATTGGCTGGGGGAGTGTTCTGTTTGGTTGTGCTCAGGTTAGTCTGAGTTGCAGGTGGGTTTAAGATTTTGGGCTGCCTTGCTATTTTTTGGCTTCGCGTTCGTGGTCGTGCCTCATCTTCATGGGGGGTGTCAGTTTGCTTCATGTATGGATTGGACGGGTTTAAAGTGGCTAATGATGCAGCTGTGGTCTGGCTTCTGGTTTGTGGTCGTGCCTCATCATCTGTGTGGCTTTGGGTTTGCTTTTTGCGTGGATGTGTGGTGGTGACATCCTGTGTGGTTTTTGTGAGTGTGGGTCTGGTATCATTTTTTGTGTTAGGGAGTCATTTGTCAATAAGGGCGGGTTTCCAAATGGCTGGTAGGCGGGAGGTATCATCTCGCTTGTTCATGCTGTGTGGGACTGTGGCTTCCTGAATTAATTAATGAATTTGTGAACAGTTTACAGCCTTCTATGATACCTTTAATATTATTAAATAGCAACATTGGCCTATCTCAAGTCTTTGGAAAAGAGTCAAAAGGTGGGAAAAATGCCAAATCCAGTCTAAATTTCTAGTTGAGTATGAGAGCACCATAATAATTCAGAAAAAGACAGAAAAGGCAGGTTGATATTCTTTTGGGATGTATACAATTCTTTAAAAAAAACTTACACAGTTTTTCATTTTCCTTCCATCTTTTCCACTCCACACATTCTCAGTTGATTTATATGCAGAAATTTATTAAAACTTTAAGGTTAAAAAAGAAAAATCTATGTGAGCCCTCTGTTTCCATTTAACCAGCTTCTAAAGAACTTATTGCCTTACTAGTATTCGGTGGATCATCATCTTCATCTCATTAAAATTCTTGTGTTTCTTTGTCTGTAAGCTTCCATTGGTTAAAAGGATTCATCATAGGGTAACAATTCTTGAACCAATATACTTCAAATGAACAAACTTACAGAATGTATCTAAAATCCATGATCCATGACTCCAGTGGGTTTGAAATTTGACAAATTGGTGGCCACTTCAGTGCAGTCATGCCATTGTGCTACCACCTGGAGATTGGGTAGACCAATATCACCCTAGCCCTCTAGAGCAGGGGTATCAAGCCCGATCATATCATGAGCTTTATCCTGATGTATCGGGATGTTTTTTGCCTTTGCGGGGCCAGAGTGGGTTTGGCCTGCACAGGCCATCTCCAGCCCTCGGTATGCGTGTTTGACATGCTCTAGAG